CTTAAATGCCGTGGGAATCCTTCCTTCCTCCCTCTATCTATCTCTCGTGTGCTCCCCCTCCTTCTGTCCTGCTTTCTCGCTGAATGAACACTTATCATTCGGCAGATAAAGAGCTGTCCAAACTGGAGCTAACTTTATCTTTGAGAGCCATGTTTACTGCCTGTGAATGTGCCACTTTCACCAATGTTTTACAAATGCCACTCACTTGATCTGGCAGAAATAGAAGTAAAGTGTCAAGGCTTTATTGCCCATCCTAGAAGATGGAGTGATGATGTTGTTGCCCATGTCTCTGTACAAATGCATTTGTATATATCCAACAAAGTTAATTCAGGTCCTCTGGATGGTTTCTTCATGTCAAAACGTTTCGTCTTTCATCTAAAATACTTCTTCAGTCCGAGGAGCCACAACAAACTCAGTCCCATAAGTAGCACTCTCACAAAGTGGGACAACCATGCTGCATAACCATATCAACAAGGTGTTTTGTTTACAGCTGGAAACAGCTGATTAACATCTCAAAATCTCAAATACTATCAAAGCTACAGTGCCAAATCTCAAATGAGTCGAAAAAGAGGCTCCGTGGATGCATTCCCGTCTACCTGCTGGATGTGCTCAAGTGCCTGACCAGTGACCACTGAGATCCTGAGATGTCCTAAGGAGATCCTTGAACTAGCAGGAAACACGTCTCGTGAGAGCAGAAGGACTGGGATCGTCCCTCGGCACCCTCAGCTGTCTGTCTGTAGCAACGAGGAGCTCGGCAGGCTGCTGGGAGGAGTGGACATCATTCTGGGAGTAGTGCTGCCTGGCATTCTGGTGGTCCTGCAGCCTGGGGGAACTGAGAGGCCAGCCAAGTCCGGGTGGATGGATCGAATGGCATCAGCGGCCAGTTTCTTCAGATCCGCTGTGGGACGGACCTTTACCAGAGATCATTCCTGCCTACAGCCATTAGTATCTACAACATCTCTTAATGTAACAAGGATAATGAGTTGCAACATTTAATTTCCCTTTGGAATTAATAAAGTATTATTGAATTGAATTGGACCAGTTTGATGGTGATAAGATGGTTTCTGGAGTCCACCCTCTCCCCCGTCACCACCTCTGAGGCAGCCATGGCCAAAGTGGTTCAAAGCAATGGGGGAGAGGATAGACTCCAGAAACCATCGTATCACCATCAAACTGGTTGGCCCACTATGCGAGTGTTGCTACTAATGGAACTGAGTTTGTTGTAGCTCCTCAGACTGTTGAAGTCTTTTGGTTGAAAGACGAAACATTTCAACACAAAGAAACCATCCAGAGGACTTGTCTTAACTTTGTTGTTGTTTTTGTTTTTGTTTTTTTACTGGGATTGTTGAACAGGAACTTTGATGCATTTGAATATACTTTTAGCAAAATATCGCATGAACCCAATAGATTTTATTAAAACTCTAAGATAGTAATTGACTGGACATCTACATTGTGATACCTTTTGTAATCAACTCATTCAAGATGGTTGTTACAAGCAAGCTTTCCAAACACAAAATATGTTATGACTCAAGCAATTTTACATATAGTGATTTCAAATGTAGTGTGGTAGTAACTGAGCATCATCCCAGCATCTTTGCTCAAAACTTTGTCTATTAGAGCCAACAAGTTTATCTGGTGGCAAATCTCTCCTGATGGTTGGATGGATTTTAGCTAAACCTTTCAGAAAAAAATCAACTGTGCAACTTATTAATATTTAGAATCTGACCAGTTTAAAGTGGTTGCCATAGCTGAAATTAACCAAAACAAAAATAGCTCTAACTCAGGAGTTTTACAGATCTTGAGCTAAATTTTGTAGTAGCTCCATTATATTTGTGAGACACTATCCCATCTTGTGAAATTGCTCCAAAGGTTATTTATGAAGTTTGACAACTTCTATCACACTGTGCCTTCTCGGTATAAAATTATTTCACTTTAAAAGTATGCCGTTAAAGAAGACGGGTAATATACAATCCTTCAGTGAATTCCTTTTAATTCACCATCACAAACATTTTTATACACACCCATCCTCCCCATCAATTTTTATCTCCTCCAAGTGTCTCAATTTCAATATTAGCCACATTTTTATGTTAGGGCTGGCTGAGTTCGGTGGTGAAATTATAATGATTGCTTGATGGGGACTGAGCTGCATTTTGCCACAGAACTGTGACCATGAAGGCCGAAACAACAAAATCAGTCTACAAATATTCTGATCGATGGGAGCCGCAAAATTTCTAATAATACTTTTTTGTCAAATCACTTTGAAAGTTGAAAATTTTCTGAAAGTCCTAAGAACAGGAGGGACAGGAGCAGAGGTAAACTTAGCAGAGAGCTTAGTGGAGAAAATATTAGCCGTTTGCAGCAGCACACTTGTGTGTGTGCAAACTCATAATTTCCTCATTTGGGCGGCCTGTAGCAAAACAATTATTAGTCCCAGATAACACAATAAAGAAAATCATTTGCTGTGTATTACCAAGGGATGAAGCATGTGTTTCACTTTGTCCACAGTGTTCATAAACACATAAACTTTTAATGGTTGAAAGTATGGAACATCTGCAGGCAAAGCTGATGCCGTGCAATTCTTCCACCTTTTTACTTCTTTAGAAAAGTATCTCAAAGCTCTCAATTATAAAAGCTAGCATGTTGTTTGCATAAACTGCTTGTGTATTTTGCCACAACATAACAGATCGACAATCTAATCCTTACATTACTTAAGATATTGCTTCTTGTCGGCTACATTATTAGTATTAATATTGCCAGTTTGGTCAAAATATAAAAAGGAGATAATTTGTTACCACTTAAAGTATGTGTTAAGAATGACTCTTGGCTACAAATACACCACATTTTAGTAAAATGTTGGGAAAATACTCCAAAGACGCTTCAGTTGTAGGTCTACATCCAATGATTACTTTTTCTAAGTTTAATTAATTTGTTGAGTGTTTCATGAGACACCGAGACGAGGGCAATGACATCATGTTTGTCTGTTTGTGACATGTTTTACTTAAACCTTTAATAACTGTCCATATGTCATCTGTCCATCCATCCATCCATCTATCCACCAAACTATTCATCCATCGACCCATCCATTCATTCATCCACCCATCCATCATCCATGCATCCATACACCCATCCATTCATCCATCCATCCATTAAACTATTTATCTATCCATCCATCGTCCATCCACCATTCATTCATCCATCCATCAATTTATCCATCCTTCCATCCATCCATCAATCAAACTATTTATCCATCCATCAGTTTATCCATTCATCCATCCATCAAACTGTTTATCCATCCTTCAGAATTAGAATCAGAATAATCTTCATCATCACTGCACCGAGATGGGCGGAGTGCACAAAGTTGCTGCTATAAGCGTGGCCTCCTTCTTCTTTTCAGAATACATTATTTAGATAGAAAAAGGGTCAAGCCACGAGGATAGGATAGTGGCATTACCAAAAAAAGATCTCTTCACACCTTGTCCTAACAAATCAGGATTTAAGACATCAAAAAAACTCTGCCAGCCAAGCACATTTATGAACACATTACATATGCATCTACGACATTCAGTGAGCCAGCCATCAAATTATTTATCCATTCATCCATTCATCATCCATCCACCCATCCATCAAACTATCTATCCATCCATCCATCCATCCATCCATCCATCCATCCATCATCCATGTTACCATTCATCCATCCATCCACCCATCCATCACACTAGTCATCCATCCATCAAACTATCTATCCATCCATCCATCCATCCATCCATCCATCCATCCATCCATCCATCCATCCATCATCCACGTAACCATTCATCCATCCATCCACCCATCCATCACACTAGTCATTTATCCATCCATCCATCAAACTATCTATCCATCCATCCATCCATCCATCCATCATCCATGTAACCATTCATCCATCCATCCACCCATCCATCAAACTAGTCATCCATCCATCCATCCATCCATCAAACTATCTATCCATCCATCCATCCATCCATCATCCATGTAACCATTCATCCATCCATTCACCCATCCATCACACTATTCATCCATCCATCCATCCATCCATCCATCATTTTTCCAGGTTGCAGGAAAGGAGAAACGGTTGCTGTGAAAGAGGCAGGGTTCACCCTGGACATGTTGCATATCCATTACAGGTCCACAGAGAAATAAGTCGAGCAACCAGTCACACTCTCACCTAGAGACAATTGAGAGTTTCCAATTTATCTAACATTTGTGTATTTGGTCTGTGGGACAACTGGCTGATGGTCCTCCTTGATCGTGTGAACAGCTAGTTTTGGTTTTCAGCACCAAACTGGTTGATCCATTTTGAGAAGGTGCTATTTATAAGACTGGTCTGAATACAGCTCCTCAGACTGAAGAAGTCTTTCAGATGAAAGACAAAACATTTCTATACTTTTGTTTTGTTTGTTTTTTGAACGTCCAGAGGACCTGACTTAACTTTTTTTAGATTTTTCTACCTGGATTATTGAGCATGCATCAGGATATCTGTGGGACAACACTGAGTAACCCGGAAAGCAAACACACATGCAGAAGAAGAATGGGTGAATTCCTCTCTGGAAGGCTGGAAGGCAAACTCCAACCTCACTGAGAGGTGACGGCTCCAACCACTGTACCACCATGATAATTGATTTAATTTAATAACAATAATGAAGGGAAATAAAGTTCAAGTTATTTGCATAATTTATGGTCCTGTGCGTTGCTTAGTTTGTGGAGCTGTCTCTCTCAAGAGGACGGTTTCTATGTGTGGCTAAAATCTCAGTTAGTGGGTTTTGTTGCATAAACCTTTATTGTTATATAATATTTTATTTTTTATTTGTAAAAACACCACAGTCATTGAAGCGAATGGATGAACCTCTTCTGCTTTTGGGATGTTGGGAATAAAGTCTGACGTTATTGGACTTGTTTCAGGTAACCTCCTGTGTTTGAGCTAACCGGCTGAAGAAATCAAAGTGTCTCTGTCTGTTTCTCCACAGAGAGTTTGGGTGGAGAGATCCAGAGCTGCCAGAGGTGATCCAGATGTTACAGCACCAGTTCCCCTCGGTGCAGTCCAATGCTGCAGCCTACCTGCAGCACCTCTGCTTTGGAGACAACAAAATCAAAGCTGAGGTACGCTGCTGTAATTGTGTGCCTCCGTGTGCGGCTGCACGTTGTTGTGCTTTACTTTTGCTGAATGATTGAAACATGCGTTGCTAAGACCAAATATCTTCAACTCTCGTGGTAAAATCCTTGAAATACCATCAACTAGGATCCAAGTTAAAGCTGTCTGTGAAATATACCAGAAAAAAAAACCTTTGAGAATGGGGTCTAGGATAATGTCCTGCAGAATAAAGCTGAAGTTGTACTTTCATTTAAAATCTAATTAGAGTACAGATATTTCAGTAGAACAAAACAAACAACAACAAAACTTTGGTAAGCTCATTTGAAGAACTAAAATAAACCCTTTAATAAAAGTAATGACATTGGATAGCACTGTGTAACATCCAGACGTACTTATATTCAGATCTTTTTCTACTTTTAAACACTTTCTCCTCCTTCATTTTCTATTAGATGTAGGGGGAGCATTGATGAGTTTTCTTGTTTGTTTCACAGTAAATGAAATTGCAGGTAGAAGAGCATAAAACTGCTTTTTGCAGCTTAATTTAATGGTGACGCCTCTGCTGTAAAGCTGTTTTCCACACAAGCCATCACACACGGGATTAGACCCAAATGCAAGCAGCACGGATGCCAGTTCAGAAGATGATTTTAAACTTTAGTGACGAAATCCAAACAAACCGGTGACCAGAAATGTAATCCTGAGGTTGCAGGTTTGAGCCCAGATTGCGTCATGGGAATCCTACGTGAAACAATTGCCACATCTTTCATGCGAGTTCACTCGCTGTGGCGACACCTGATGGATGGAGCGGCTGAATGAAACTTTAGAAAAGTATACATAAAATAAATAACCCAAACTATTGTTACTATTAATGAAAGACAAGCGGAATGATCAGAACCAAACCAACAAAATGTGGGACACAATGTGTTTGTGTGGAACAATGTGTCAAAGTTTGGATATCTAAAGTGAAAAACAAATCCACTCAATAGGCAATGTATGTCATAAATTATATTTTTTAATATTCCTAATACTAATGCAACATTCCAAACAAAGCAATTACTTTTTTAATCCAGCTGATAGTTAAATGGTACAGAATACAAAGTTCTCTTCAGTATGTTCCAGTTATCAATAGGTCATTTCCCATCTCGTATTCATTTCATTCATTCACTTCCTTTGTTTCCAAACAAAACCCACAAAACTGTGTTTATTTGTGACTGCACAGTTTTGTTTATGATTGTTTCCTCTCTGGGCAGAACTAAAGACTCATGGCAGTAACGGTTCACCTGCACAGATGTGAGTGGAAACAGATCTGAATGGAGCTTGGGAGATTAAAAAAAGTGAAAACATGAGCAAAAAAACCTCTAAATATAAAATCTTTAATAACATAGTTGAAATGCATGAACTAATACATACACTTTACAACATACTGCTTACCACAACCATAATGTGTGAGCATGATAGAAAATAATTATATGTCAGATTGTTTTTCTACTATATTAACTTTTATAAGCAATAACCCTTTAAACAGTTGCATACTTTTCAGCTGGACACATCAAACAATATACTGTCCAAAAGTAACCTTGAGACAGTAGCACATGCTTTCACAACATCCAGGCTTGATTACTGCAATACACTTCTTCTTGGAATCAGGTTTCTACTGTACGATTGCAACTGGTTCAAAATGCTGCAGCCTGATTTTTAACTGGCACAGGCAAAAAAGAGCACGTTTCTCCAGTTTTGACTTCCTTTCACTGGCTCCCGGCTCACTTCTGAATTAATTTTAAAATCCTTTTGTATGTTTTTAAATATTTGAATAACGCTGCCCCCTCTTATTTCACTGATCTGCTGCAGCCATATGTCCCACAGCGCTCTCTGAGGTCAGCAGTCCAGATGCTTTTATTAGTTCCAGTCGCTCGTTTCAAGCTCAGAGGTGACAGGGCCTTCTCTGTTGCAGGTCCAAAACTGTGGGATGAGTTACCACTGCATGTCAGGCAGGCTCCCTCTCAATGTTTTTAAGTCTGGTTAAAAAAAAACCACACTTTTATTCCCTGGTTTCGATCTAGTGTAAGTTGATTTTAACTTCACCGTTGTTTAGTTTCTTATCTTTGTCTCTGGATTTATATATTTTATCCTATGTCCTTTGTTGGTTTTGTTGTACAGCACATTGGCTGACCTTTTTGCTGTTTTTCAGTGCTTTTTAAATAAAGTGGTATGGTAAACAACGATAAGAGGGTCTGCCAGCTGGAATTCCCTCTTCAGCTTGGTTAAGCTTGGAATGTACAAATTGTTTCTGTGTGCTGATGTTGGAAAGATGTGGCTCACGCTGAGGGTTGAGTTAGAGTTTGAGGGGTTTGTTCATTTTGGAAGTAAGGGCCATATCTCTCTCCTACCAAGTATTTTTTTTGTATACAATTAGTTTAACTTCACTCCTGGTCTCCTGAGTAATTATTTTAGATAATTTTTCTAAAGGTGCATATTTAGACATAACATACACACCCACAGTCTCAGTCTGCAAACTAAAAAGCAACATTTTTACTATTAATTATATGTACTGTACACAGTAAGACATTTAAACCTGAAAACAAATCTTCCATTCACATTCTGTTTACTACGCCCACCCACACAAATTACACACAAATACAACAATCCTTAAATCCTGCTACAATGAAATGCATCGCATTTTATTCCACTCCCACGCTCTGATCCATGTAGCTCTGAAACAAACACAAGTGCTTCTTATTCTTTATTTAATGGGCGTAATTACAGCCTGAATTGTAGAGATAATAATAAATGTGCTTAGGAAGTGGACGCTTTTGCCTGTCATAAATATATTCTACAAAGACGAAGCGGCTGCTGAACATTTTCACATAGAAATAAATTATCTCATTGTCAAATCAAAATAACATGCATGTGCTCTGCAGCCGTGCACACTTTTCCTCCCATGAGTACCCCACCTAATCACACAGAGATGAACACAGAGCTGTACTCATTTGATCATGTTCCCAATGAAAAACTAACTTAACTGACGATCACCAAGCCAGGTATAGGTTATTAATTTGGTTAAAGATTAAGCCCCTATATTGATAAAATACCTGTATATATGCAAATATCTGAAGGGATGGAAGTAAGAGTTTGACTTGGTTAACAAGAGCATACATTATCCTGGAAAACTGCCACCAAATGACTTTGTACCTGTTTCTCTTGTTGCATAAAGTTAAAGATTTAAATTTGAAGTGATTTTCCTCCACTCAAATTTTGTCAAATGTAAAAATTCTACATTAGAAAATGTATAATAAAGATAAAATAATTGTTTTCATAAACAACAAAATCTTTATTTGTAGCCGTATGGCAAAACATACCTTTCTATTACTTATAAAGGCCCATCATCTGGTTTGCAAGACAGTGGCGAGACCAGCTATGTTGTAGCTGGAGACAGTGGCATTGACCAAAAGACAGCCCAGAGACAGAACTGGAAGTAGAAGAAATGAAGATGTTGAGGTTCTGCTTAGGATTGACAAGGATGGAGAAGATTAGGAATGAGATCATCAGAGGTACAGCACAGGTTGAACAACTGGGAGATAAAGTTAGAGAGGACACACTGAGATGGTTTTGACATGTCCAGAGGAGGGACAGTGGGTATACTGGTAGAAGGATGTTAGAGATGCAGCTGTCAGGACAAAGACTAAGAAGAGATACATGGATGCAGTTACAGAGGATATGGAGGTAGTTGTGGTGAGGACAGAGTGAGATGGAGAAGGATGACTCACTGTGGCGACCCCTGAAGAGGGAAAGGCCAAAACAAGAAGAAGATGATCTGGAGAAATCAATAAAAACTATGTTCAGCTTTGATTGAGGTATTTTTCTGCTTTATGGTTTAAAAAAATAGAAGCTGTGGTCTTTCCGGTTGGTACTAATTAAACATGAACAGAACTTCTCTGAGATTACACAATTAGAAAAACTAAAACCAGTTTGTTTAACTAAATTGGTTTTCGGTTTCATTTAATGGGGCAGCATGCCATTAGTTGTTAGTCAGCCGTAGTAAGACAGAGTATGTGTGAATGAAAGGGAGGCAGGTGGAACGGCGAGGCTACAAGGAGCAGAGGTCACAAAGATGAGTTGTTCGAGATGTTGGCTCACTGCAAGAAGGTTGCAGTTTTGCCTTCCAGCCAAAGTCCATTCTGGGTGGAGTTTGCATGTTCTCCCCATGCACGAGTGGGTTTAATCTGTGTACTCTGGTTTCCTTCTGCAGACTAGAAACATTCATAATTTGTCCCTAGGTGTGAAGGAGAGTGTGAATGACTGTCTCATTTGTCTTTATCTCTGTGATAGTGACCTGTCCATGGTGGAAAACATTTTCAGAAAAATTAACTAAATAACTTTACTTTAGCTTATTTTATCATATTTTTCTTTCTTGCTACAAGAGACTGAAGCTGCTGGTCTAGATTTTTCAAGCTGTGTGTTTCAAAAAGTCAGTTCTGTGACTTTGCTGTGTTCTTTCCTCAGAACAATGTTACGCAGGTTAATACTTTGCTTGGCTCAGTTTAGAATACCCAAGAGAGAGACGTTAGCCAAGGGCCAAAAACTCAATTAGCCACTGGTTCAAAGGCTTTAAGACAAAGTTAGCTTCAAGGAAATCTGTTAGGCCAAAACAAAAACTAACATGTGTGTATTTTCCAGACTTCAAATATAGTGCTGATCAGAATTTTTATACCTCAGTCACAGATTTATTGCAGAACATTTGGCTGCAGCGCTGGCCTCTACACTTTTTTATGGTTCTTGAACTTCTCTGCTAATAGTTTTTCACTTCTCATTGCTGAGCCTTTAAGCACTTGTCACTATAGGAGTATTTTGAAGTGGTGAGTTTCAGGCCTCCAAAAACGGTGTGTATTGGAATTAAAGTAACTTAAAATACAACAAATATTTCAAACACTCAAAATACAAAACCAGGGTTCCCAGCAACTCTGGAAATCAGGGAAAACCTAGAAAAATATACTGTATTAAGATTTTACAGACA